CACCCTGCCTTGGTGGGATGCAGCCAGTACGTTGAAAGAAGATATATAGTACTGTGATGCAATATGCATGAGCCCTTGTTTTCCTAAAATTCAAATAGCAATCAGCATTACAAGTGTACTGGTAGTGGCTGCATACTACAAGCTTTGTTTAGTTATTTGGCACTCTGTTTTGGACCTTCTTTCCCCATTTCCCAACTTTCTAACGTTGCTTTTGCCCAGTTTAAATTCCAGAAACCTTTCACTCAACCATTCCTGAAATCTAAATTTTCTTGCAGCCTTCTTTCATCCTCTACACTTTGTATGCTCTTCATACATTTTGGTATTATGTATCTGTAAACAAGGCTGTATTGGGGTTATCCCCTGTAACCAAGCTCTTTAAATATTCACAAATGTTCAAAAATACTGTATTTAAATAGTTCATGCACAGTGATATATTACCATAAATTATTAATAAATACCCAAACTTTCCATGCTGTAAATAATTCATAGCCTTTGTAGCTTGTTTAATTAGCAGTGCACAGGAAATAGATTGGGAGAACCTAGAGCCACATGGGGGCCAAGAAACATGGAGGGCTAAGATGGTGGAAGTGGTACTAGAAAGCCTCATGTACCAACATGTAAGGGACACTACTAGAGAGAGAGGAGAGGTTGAACCAACAAGATTGGACCTAGTATTCACCTTGAGTAGTGCAGATATTGAGGACATCACATATGAAAGACCCCTTGGGGCCAATGATCATGTGGTTCTGAGTTTCAACTACATAGTAAAGTTACAGGTGGAGGGGGAAGTAGGAAGGGCCAGACGAATGAAGCCAAACTACAAGAAAGGGGGTTACGTAGGCATCAAGAATTTCCTGCATGGGGTTTAGTGGGACAGAGAGCTGGCAGGGAAGTCAGTAAACGAGATGATGGAATATATGACAACAATATGCAAAGAAGCTGAGGAGAGGTTTGTACCCAAGGGTAACAAAAAATCAAGGATGAGCCTGTGGTTCACCCAAAGGTGCAGGGAGGCCAAAACCAAGTGTGCTAGAGAATGGAAGAAGTATAGAAGGCAAAGGACCTAGGAGAATAAGGAGAGCAGTCGAAGAGCCAGAAATGAATATGCACAGGTAAGAAGGGAGGCCCAACGGCAATACGAGAATGACATAGCAGTGAAAGCCAAATCTGTCCCAAAGCTGTTGTACAGCTACATCAGGAGGAATGCAACAATCAAGGACCAGGTAATCAGGCTGAGGAAGGAAGGGGGGCAGGTCACAAAAAATAACTGTGAAGTATGTGAGGAGCTCAACAGGAGATCCAAAGAAGTGTTCACAGAGGAGACAGAAGGGCCTCCAGAAAGGCAGAGGTGGGGTACACCATCAAGTGTTGGACACAATACATACAACTGAGGAAAAAGTGAAGAGGCTGCTCAGTGAGCTAGATACCTCAAAGGTGATGGGACTGGATAACATCTCTCCATGGGTTCTGAGAGAGGGAGCAGAGGCACTATGTGTACCACTAACAACAATCTTCAACACATCTATTGAAATGGTGATTACCTGAAGTATGGAAGACAACAAATGTAGTCCCAATTTTTAAAAAAGGAGACACGAAGCATTAAATTACAGACCAGTGTCACTGACATGTATAGTATGCAAGGTCATGGAGAAGATTATCAGGAGAAGAGTGGTGGAGCATTTAGAAAGGAATGAGCTTATCAACGACAGCCAGCGCGGTTTCAGGGATGGGAAGTCCTGCATCACAAACCTACTGGAGTTCTATGACAGGGTGACAGCAGTAAGACAAGAGAGAGGAGTGGGTAGATCGCATTTTCTTGGACTGTAAGAAGGCATTTGACACAGTTCCACACAAGAGATTAGTGCAAAAGCTGGAGAACCAGGCAGGGATAACAGTGGATCAGGAAATACCTGTTGGGAAGACAACAGCGAGTCATGGTACGTGGTGAGGTGTCAGAGTGGGCGCCTGTAATGAGCGGGGTGCCACGGATCAATCCTAGGACTGGTACTGTTTCTTGTATTTGTGAACGACATGATGGAAGGAATAAACTCCAAAGTGTCCCTGTTTGCAGACGATGTGAAGATGATGAGAAGAATTCATTCAAACAAGGACCAGGCAGAACTACAGAGGGATCTGGACAGGCTGCAGGGCTGGTCCTGCAACTGGCTCCTGGAGTTCAACCCCACCATGTGCAAAGTCATGAAGATTGGGGAAGGGCAGAGATGACCACAGACGGAGTACAGTCTAGGGGGCCAGAGACTACAAACCTCACTCAAGGAAAAGGATCTTGGGGTGAGTATAACACTGGGCACATCTCCTGATGAGGCATACAGCAACCAAATAACTGCGGCAGCATACTGGCGCCTGGCAAACCTGAGAACAGCATTCCAACATCTTAATAAGGAGTCATGCAGGACCCTGTACACTGTGTACATTAGGCCTATACTGGAGTATGCAGTGCCAGTTTGGAACCCTCACCTAGTCAAGCATGTAAGGAAACTAGAGAAAGTGCAAAGGTTTGCAACAAGACTAATCCCGGAGCTAAGGGGTGTGTCCTACGAGGAGAGGTTAAGGGAAATCAACCTGATAACACTGAAAGACAGGAGAGATAGGAGGGATATGATAACAACATATAAAATACTGAGAGGAATAGGCAAGGTGGACAGAGACAGGATGTTCCAGAGATGGGACACAGCAACAAGGGGTTACACTTGGAAGTTGAAGACTCAGATGAATCACAAGGATGTCAGGAAGTATTTCTTCAGTCACAGAGTTGTCAGGAAGTGGAATAGTCTGGGAAGTAATGTAGTGGAGGCAGGATCTATACATAGCTTTAAGGAGAGGTATAATAAAACTCACGGAACAGGTAGAGTGACCGAGTAGCGGCCAGTGAAGAGGCAGGGCCAGGAGCTGAGACTCGACCCCTGCAACCACAACTAGGTGAGTACAGTTGCTAGTTCCTTATTCCAGTGTTTCTTTGTAACATAATGCTGTAAATATGCTTGATTGTAATACTTATGGTATGCAACTGAATTTGTTGTGTAACCAGCTCATTACTAATGTTACTGAAGCCAATACTACTTTTGTAACTAATTACAGGTACCATCCGACTTACGACCGTGTTCAGTTCCGACAAACTGGTCATAAGTCGAAATGGACGCAAGTCGAACCTTACTACTGAATATCAACATCACATTTTTTAAACGAGTTTATTTTATTGTTTTATTTTGGTATTTCATGTTTACTTTACTTTTTATGCTGTTAGTACTGTATTTTATACTGAAAGGTTTAGGATAAACACTGTGTACAACACAGACAGTTGTTTATTTCCCAGAAATTTGGCATAGAAAACACGGTCGTAAGTCAAATGGTCGTATGTCGAGCAGGTCGTAAGTCGGATGGTAGGTGTAATTTCTACTGTAAATTTCTTAACAGAGTGTAGGACTCTAGTCACTGGACCTGTTATGTTCCTCTGCAATCTTTTGATTACTGCTGGTTTTTTTTATTTTGTACATACTGTTCCTTTCATTTTATGTGAGTTTCCTTCACTTATTTATCAAGCAGTACTCTTCGGGTCACCACAAAAAATATTAGTCTAGGAATATGCTGTTCACCCATCCCACTGTTTTTTGTTTGATCTCTGTTAATCTGTCACATAATGTGTATAAACTGGTGTATAAATTTACTTAGTGTGTTATATAACAGCTGAAAAACAATACCAGTAAATTGATTGTGGTAGAACAATTGTAAGATTTTATTAAACATTTTCTTGCAGTTTAATGCTGCTCAGATATCATTAACCCTTTGACTGTCGCGGCCGTATATATACGTTTACGAGGTACCATGTTTGACGTATATATACTCATAAATTCTAGCGGCTTCAGATCAGGCAGGAGAAAGCTGGTAGGCCCACATATGAGAGAATGGATCTGTGTGGTCAGTGTGCACCATATAAAAAAAATCCTGGAGCACACAGTGCATAATGAGAAAAGAAAAACTCCAACCATTTTTTTTAATTAATATGCCGACTTTGTGGTCTATTTTCGTATAGCATTTGTGGTTGTATTCTCGTTTTCTTGGTCTCATTTGATAGAATGGAAACTATATTATAGAAATAGAGGTGATTTTGATTAATTTTACTATAAAAAGAACCTGGAAATGGAGCACAAAGTACAGGAAATGTTTGATTTTTGCCGATGTTCAAAAGTAAACAAATGATGTCATTTTCCAATAAATGTCCAAATAGCCATTCTAATATGCAGTCATGAATGGGTTGATGTAATTTTTACAATTATTACAGTATTGCAGTAGTCTGCATATCAGTAAATCTTCTATTTTTTGTTTGAATAAAATTTCAAAATAAAAAGCAAGAGTAATATCACAGGGGCCTGGAGACATGACTGATGAACAAAGAAAATGTTATTTTAGAGCCAGGAATGTCTGCATTGTTCATTCTTGTCCTTATTTTGAAATTGTCATATTTTTTAATTTTTGTGAAATTGGCCAAATTGCAAATTTCTGACCAAGTTATTGGGTAGTTGAAATCTGTAAATGGGCAGTTTCTTGTACTCAATCGATGGAAAAAATGGAGTTCTGAAGAAATAGCTATAAGTTCGGTTGACTGGAATAATGGAATTAGCCGAAAATAGGGCTCAAAGTGGGCGAAATCGCCGATTTGTAAATATCACCGAGGTCGCTAACTTCGCGAGAGCGTAATTCCGTCAGTTTTCCATCAAATTTCGTTTTTTTTGGTGTCTTTGCAATCGGGAAAAGATTCTCTATCATTTCATAAGATTTTTTTTTTTTTTTTTTTTTTTTTTTTTTTTTTTTTTTTTTTTTTTTGAAATTTTGCGACACCAGGAGACACCTCAGGATTGGGGGTTGCGACAGTCAAAGGATTAAAAATGCTATGAGTTTCTTTTGTGTGTGTGTATGTTATATATAGAGCACTAAACTTTTGAGAGATTTATTACTGCTATTAACTTTTTCTTACATTTCAGGAGTCCTTAATAATTTGACAAGGATGGTCTTGGTAAATGCAGTGTACTTTAAGGGGCTCTGGGAGAATCAGTTCAGGGAATCTGCTACCCGTGACGGAGAGTTTTGGATAACAGGGAGTAAGAACGTCAAGGTGCCAATGATGCACATTAAGAAAGACTTTTGCATGCTGCACAATGCAAACCTTAAGGCAACAATTCTTGCAATGGACTATAAGGTTAGTAATTGTTATGATGGCAAGCAATGGCAGAATAAATAATCTTCAGACATAACCAGTATTGCTGTATAAAAGCTCCTTGCTCTGAAGGATGTGTGGGGATGTTGCATTCCAGTGCATCACTGGAATTGTGATAGAATCGTAGTGAGTTTTTGTAAAGGTTGCAAACTTACCATGTGTTTTTGTGTAGATCTAAGTTATGTATGGAATTTTATATTTCATCTTAGTTTTTATACCTTTTGTTACACAAATAACCCGCACATAAAAGAGAGAAGCTTACGATGACGTTTTGGTCCGACTTGGACCATTTACAAAGTCACACAAAGACAAAGGTTAATCTATTTGTGTTGATCTGTACTGATGATTTTATTAGTAAATTTAATAGTGGTGAAATTGTTAGTAAGTTTGGCAGTGCTTCCACTCATCTTTGTGTGCTCAGTATTCTTTTTTCTGTTAAGTACAGCTCTGTTTCCTTGTAGAGTGACTGATGTGAGTACTCTTTTTCTGTCCAGTATGGCTGATTTTTGTAACATTTTGGGTTGAACTGGTATTGACTCTGATACATATATGCAACCTTCTTAGTTTTCCCACTGTTTTGTATTTATGCTGTCTCATCTGTTGTCTTTCCATGTTTTGGTCTATTCAGTCATTTTCAGGCTTGTTTTGCCAACAGGCACTGTAGTGACTGAAAAAAGTCATTATGGAAAAGTGGATAAAACACTTGGAGAGCAATGGACTATTAACTAGCAAATTTCTCTAAGTCATATCCATTTAGTGCAGTAGTCACAGCATTACAATGAAAAGTGCAAAACTAATTCCAAAAATAAGATACTACAGTAGACTGTCATTTAACACGGTAGTTACGTTCCTGAAAATGCCGTGTTAGTAAAATCGTGTTAGATTAACTGAAGAACTTATGGGAAAAATAGGGTTACGTTTCTGAGAGCCTCAAAAAAGCCAAACAACTTTTTTTAGGTCTCCACATCTTACAAAAATAAAAGTGAATATGTAATTGTAGTTCATTGTTGTGAGGCATTATGTTTTTTTACTGCTTAAGACTACAGATATAATAGAAATAATAGTATTTCTTACCTTAAATTATGGGTGTTGGTGTTTGTGGATGATTGTGAAGAGAGTGGAGAGTTATGCTGTGACTTTACTGGGCTGAGGTGGATGGTAGAGGTTCTGGTACTGAAGTCGATGGTTGTACTGGAGAGCTAACTTTAAGTCAGTCAGTCAAATCATTCAGTAAGCCAGTCAAGTCATTCAGTAAGTCAGTCAAATCATTCAGTAAGTTAGTCAAGTCATTCAGTAAATCAGTCAAGTCATTCAGTAAGTCAGTCAAGTCATTCAATAAGTCAGTTAAGTCATTCAGTCAGTCAAGTCATTCAGTAAGTCAGTCAGTCAATCATTCAGTCAGTCAGTCAGTCACACAAACTCATGTCTACCTCTTTTTCTGTGTACAAAGTAACACTTCATTTCGGCTACAGGTTATCTCTTGTCTAATACATGTATCTTTGTTTTTTCATTAATTCTAAGACTTAAATGCTTATACCTTTTCTTGCCACTTTCAGCAACACTGGTATTGCTACTGGGTGTTATGATTGCTTGGCAGATACAAGATATAGTAATTAAAAGATCATAACACAATTCACAAACACAGCTAGCTTGAAGCAGAGAAAGACTGGACACACATGAATTACGAACGCTGGGATGGTGGGGTGGTGTTGGAGGGTGGCAGGGAATGGTGGGAGGTTTCCCCAGCTGTTCCATAACAAGGCGGCCACTTGAGGAAAAGAGAATATTTTTTCCTTCCCACAAACTGAACGTGTTAAATTAATTTTACAATGTGTTACATAAAATTGTGCCACAATTCTTCAGTCGTGCTATACCCGAATCATGCCAAATAAACTCGTGCTAAATGACGGTCTAGTGTATATTAATTGCTGAGAATAAGAAAAAAATTTTAGTGAGATAAATAGGTTAAAAAAGCCTAGGGAATGTATGTATTTAAAAGTTAAAAACAGAATAGGGAAGTTAGTGGATGGGAAGTTAGTGGATGGGAAGTTGGAAGTATATTGGGAAGATTGCAGGAATATTTTGAGGAATTGTTCAACGTTGATGAAGAGAAGGAAGCAGTAATTTCATGCATTTGCCAGGGAGGTATAACAGCTTTTAGGAGTGAAGAAGAGCCAGATGTGAGTGTGGGGAGGTATGCGAGGCATTACATAGAATGAAAGGAAGTAAAGCAGCTGGAACTGATGGAATCATGACATAAATGTTAAAAGCAAGGGGGGGGATATATAGTGTTAGAGTGGTTGGTACTTTTGTTCAATAAATGTTTGGAAGAGGGGAAGGTACATAGGGACTGGCAGAGAGCATGTATAATTCCTTTATATAAAGGGAAATGGGGACAAAAGAATTTGTAAAAATTATAGGGGAAGAAGTTTATTGAGCATACCAGGTAAAGTGTATGGTAGGGTGATTATTGAAAGAATTAGAGGTAAGACAGAGAGCAGGATAGCAGATGAACAAGGAGGCTTTAGAATGGGTAGGGGATGTGTAGATAAGGTGTTTATGTTGAAGCATACAAGTGAACAATATTTACATACAAGTAGGGATGTTTTCATTGCATTTATGGATTTAGAAAAGGCATATAATAGGGTGGATAGGGGAGCAATGTGCTAGATGTTGCTAGTTTATGGAATAGGTAGTAAGTTATTAAATGCTGTAAAGAGTTTTTATGAGAATAGTGAGGCTCAGGGTAGTGTGTAGGAGAGAGGGAGTTTACTTTCCAGTAAAAGTAGGCCTTAGACAGGGATGTATAATGTCACCATGGTTGTTTAACATATTTAAAGATGGAGTTGTAAAAGAAGTAAATGCTAGTGTGTTAGGGAGAGGGGTGAAATTAAATTATGGGGAATCAGATACGTACAAAATGAGAGTTGTCACTAACTTTTTGTTGATGATACTGTGCTTTTGGGAGACTAAAGAGAAGTTGCAAAGGTTGGTGGACTAGTTTTGGAGGGTGTGTAAAGAAAGTTGAAAGTGAACATAGATAAGAGTAAGGTGATGAGGATATCAAATGAGTTAGGTAAAGAAAAATTGGATGTAATTTTGGAGGTAGGGGGTATTGTAATTTCCACCTGCAGGTGGAAATTACAATGCCTGCACTTTAAAGGAGGGGTTTGGAATATTGGCTATTTGGAGTTACTGTACATCTAAACTGTCATATCTGGGCACCTCTGCAAAGACAGTGATTATGTGTGAATGATGGTGTCAGTGTTGAATGATGGTGAAAGTGTTTCTTTCCTGTTTTGGGTCACCCTGTTTCGGTGGGAGATGACCGGCGTGTTAAAAAAAAAATTAATTCCGATTACCTATTTATAGCTACAGTTACAGATCTATGCATCAAATGTCCCATCTTCAGTGTTGAATCTATCATATAATTTTCTTTAAATTTTAGTGGTTGTAACATTTACTGTCTTGTCTTGTATCCTATTCTGTTGTTCAACCATTGAAAAAATTTCAGGTATTCTTTTGGCTAGTTTCTTTCTAGTCTTTACATCTTTACTCTGAGAAGTGAATGGGAGATGGAGAAAAAATGGCTTTTTTGCTATTGTACTTGTAAATAAACTTGCACTAAACTCATTCTACATTTTTGTAGGTTGTTTCTTCACAGCTTATGTTGAGAGTCAGTTTCTTTATTCAGATGAATCACAATAATTTAACATTTGGCATTAGTCTACATATTATTTTAAGATGAACTCATTAATTCACTTGTAGTCAAGTTCACAGGTGTATAATTCTCACTGTATCTTTGCAGGGGTCAAGGCTGAGCATGGTATTTGTGTTGCCTGACAAACGTGATGGACTAGCAGAGGTTGAGGCTAATCTAGCCAATGTAGATTTTAGTAAAATTGATAAAAATCTACCAAAAGATGAAGTGGAAGTTACTCTACCAAAATTCAAGCTTGAAGAATCATTAGATTTGATTAATCATTTGAATGAGGTAAATTATCTTGTTTCAAACTAGAGAAGTTTGTTTATAATATTCCAGCAGGTATATGACATGGTTTTAATATTAAATACAAATTAAAATTGTATTGGAAATTTGAACAATATAAACAAGTTCATTCAATGTTGAATTATCAACTTTCTATGAGAATTAAGAATTGAAGTTAATGCTATGTTTAGTGTTGATGAATAAGACTCAAGTGACACACTTGAATAAGGAACAATATATACAGTGGTCCCCATGGGGAAGTGGAACAGAATTCTTCCTCCGTAAGCTATGTGTGTCGTAAGAGGCAACTAAAATGCCAGGAGCAAGGGGCTAGTAACCCCTTCTGTATATACTACTAAATTTAAAAAGAGAAACTTTTGTTTTTCCTTTTGGGCCACCCCCACCTCAGTGGGATACGGCTGGTGCGTTGAAAGAAAGATATACAGTGGCAAAACAGAAGTGATTATTATTATTATTATAAGTGATTATTATTATTATTATTTTCATTTTTTTTCAACAAACTGGCTGTATCCCACCAAGGCAGGGTGACCTAAAAAGAAAAATGAAACATTCTCTTTATAAATTTAGTAATGTATACAGGAGAAGAGATTACTAGCCCCTCCCTCCCGGCATTTTAGCCACCTCTTATGACATGCATGGCTTACAGAGGAAGAATTTTGTTCCACATTCCCATGGAGATAAGAGGAAACAAGAACAAGAACTAGTAAGAAAATAGAAGAAAACGCAGAGGGGTGTGTATATATATGCTTGTATATCCATGTGTAGTGTGACCTAAATGTAAATAGAAGTAGCAAGATGTTCCTTAAATGTTGCATGTTTATGAGACAGAAAAAAAGACTCCATCAATCCTACCATCATGTAAAACAATTACAGGTTTCTGCTTTACATTTGATTGGCAGGACAGTAGTACCTCCCTGGGTGGTTGCTGTCAACCAACCTACTACCTAGGACTTATTATTATTACAGCACTGCATGGTAGGATGTATGAACTGTGTAGTATGCTTTATTTGACACTAGCAAGGGTGGAGAGTATAACAGAGGTAGAGTTAGTAAGAGTGGAGAGGAGTGCTAAATAAGTACAATCAAAGGTTCTGTAATAACTCTGTTGCTGTCAAATATGGAGTCTGCATCAAAGGCAGGGCTGTCAGCAGGGAGGGAAGATAAAGTAAGAGTGTTAGAGCAGTGATGACATTGGAGGTAAATCCTGCATGCTTAGAAGTGAGTAGAGAGATGTGGTTTATGGGGATGACATATTTATGAAATGTGAGCAAAGTTATATCCATGAATGGACTTAGAAAAAACTTTTAGCCAGACTTGAGTTCTGGAAGTGGGAGTGCAGTTTCTGCACTTTGCAGGAGAGGCATGAATGTTATGATTTATAGTCTTCTGAATGGTGATGTCCATGCACTTCTGGCAAGACAACTAGTAAATGAGTAATGGTTAATGTGTTTCCTCCTTTGGGTTGCCAACCCAGGTGGAAAATGGGGTGTGTGCTAGAAAAATAGGGTAATTATAGCTGTTCTTTAGATTTGCTGTTGCTGGTTAGTAACTTCTTTACATTACAATTCACTCTGGGAACTTTACTGCATCACTAACTATATTAAAGAACAAATGTATAATGATTGTCATAAAAGTAATAGTTAACAGTAAGTCATTGAACTGTTTAGGTGCCCCGTGGCCTGGTGGCAAAAACTCTCGCTTCACATGGTGAGGGTCAGGGTTTGATACCCAGTGAAGGGGTGGAAACATTGGACGTGTTTCCATACACCGGTTGTCCATGTTCACCCATTAGTAAAATGAGTACATAGGTGTTAGTCGACTTATGTTTATCTGGAGTTTATCTGGAGAGAGTTCCGGGGGTCAACGCCCCCGCGGCCCGGTCTGTGACCAGGCCTCCTTAGGTCAGTGTCCCAGGATGCGACCCACACCAGTCGACTAACACCCAGGTACCCATTTTACTGATGGGGAACATAGACAACAGGTGGAAAGAAACACGTCCAATGTTTCTACTCTTAACCACCAGGCCACCAGATGTGGGTCACATCCTGGGACAAAACTGACCTAATTTGCCCAAAATGCTCTGCATAACAAGAGTATAACAGGAGTATGTCATTGATGTCAGCTAGGCTTGTATACCTTGTATATATTTTTTTTTTTTCAACAAACCGGCCGTATCCCACCGAGGCAGGGTGGCCCAAAAAGAAAAAGAAAAGTTTCTCTTTTAAAATTTAGTAATTTATACAGGAGAAGGGGTTACTAGCCCCTTGCTCCCGGCATTTTAGTCGCCTCTTGCAACACGCAAGAACAAGAACTAGAAAGAAAATAGAAGAAACCCCAGAGGGGTGTGTATATATATGCTTGTACATGTATGTGTAGTGTGACCTAAGTATAAGTAGAAGTAGCAAGGTATACCTGAAATCTTGTATGTTTTTTTTTTTTTTTCTTTTTTTTTTTTTTTAACAAACCGGCCGTATCCCACCAAGGCAGGGTGGCCCAAAAAGAAAAGCAAAAGTTTCTCTTTTTAAATTTAATAATTTATACGGGAGAAGGGGTTACTAGCCCCTTGCTTCCGGCATTTTAGTCGCCTCTTACAACACGTATGGCTTACGGAGGAAGAATTCTGTTCCACTTCCCCATGGAGATAAGAGGAAATAAACAAGAACAAGAACTAGAAAGAAAATAGAAGAAAACCCAGAGGGATGTGTAATTTATTTTTTTTTTTATTATCACACCGGCCGATTCCCACCAAGGCAGGGTGGCCCGAAAAAGAAAAACTTTCACCATAAGAACATAAGAACATAAGAACGAAGGAACACTGCAGAAGGCCTACTGGCCCATGCGAGGCAGGTCCAAGTCTCCTACCGGCTTAAGCCAATGCACCCAACCTAGTCAGGTCAGGTCACATTGACTTAAGGGAGGAACACGGCAACCGACCTGTTAGCACAAGCTATCAGGTCTAACTCACACCCACCCACATCTACTCATGTATTTATCCAACCTATTTTTAAAGCTACACAACGTTCTGGCCTCTATAACGGTACTTGGGAGTTTGTTCACTCATCCACAACTCTATTACCAAACCAGTACTTTCCTATATCCTTCCTGAATCTGAATTTTTCCAACTTAAAACCATTGCTGCGAGTCCTGTCTAGGCTAGATATTTTCAGCACACTATTTACATCCCCTTTATTTATTCCTGTCTTCCATTTATACACCCCAATCATATCCCCCCTAATTCTACGTCTTTCTAGAGAGTGCAGTTTCAGGGCCCTTAGTCTATCCTCATAGGGAAGGTTTCTGATACATGGGATCATTTTGTCATCCTCCTTTGTACATTTTCCAGAGAATTTATATCCATTCTGTAATACGGTGACCAAAACTGTGCAGCATAATCTAAATGAGGCCTAACCAAGGATGTATAGAGTTGAAGAACAACCTGAGGACTCCTATTATTTATGCTTCTTGATATGAAGCCAAGGATTCTATTAGCTTTATTGCGAACACTTATGCACTGTTGTCTTGGTTTCAGATTATGCTAACCAGAACTCCTAAATCTTTTTCGCAATCCGTAATATTAAGATCTACATTATTTAGTTTATATGTGGGCATGGTTATTGTCCTGTCCAACATTTAGAACTTTGCATTTGTCTATATTAAACTGCATCTGCCACTTCTCCGACCACTGCATCAGTCTATTCAAATCTTCCTGGAGTGCTCGAATGTCCTCGTCAGAATGAATTCGACGGCCTATTTTGGTGTCATCGGCAAACTTGCCGATGTCGCTCTTTATGCCCTCATCTATGTCGTTTATGTAGATTGTGAACAGCAGGGGGCCCAACACTGACCCCTGTGGAACACCACTCGTGACGCTTCCCCACTCTGATTTCTCCCCATTTATGCAAACTCTCTGCTGCCTATTTGTCAACCATGCCTCTATCCAGGAAAAAATTTCTCCTCCTATTCCATGTGCTTTAATTTTCCTCAATAGTCTCTGATGTGGGACCCTGTCAAAAGCCTTACTGAAGTCCATATACACAATATCATATTCATTACCATGATCTACCTCCTCAAATACCTTAGTGAAAAAAGTTAATAAATTCGTAAGGCAGGAACGCCCCTTTGTAAAACCATGCTGAGATTCGTTGATTAATTTATGCTTTTCAAGATGGCTACGAACTGCCTCGGCAATTATTGATTCCATAAATTTTCCCACTATGGAGGTTAGGCTTATTGGTCTATAGTTCGAAGCTAAGGACCTGTCACCTGTTTTGAAAATAGGTATCACATCATTCACTCCATCACTGTCTTGCCAGAAGGGTGCTTTACACTACAGTTTTTAAACTGCAACATTAACACCCCTCCTTCAGAGTGCAGGCACTGTACTTCCCATCTCCAGGACTCAAGTCCGGCCTGCCGGTTTCCCTGAACCCCTTCATAAATGTTACTTTGCTCACACTCCAACAGCACGTCAGGTATTAAAAACCATTTGTCTCCATTCACTCCTATCAAACACGCTCACGCATGCCTGCTGGAAGTCCAAGCCCCTCGCACACAAAACCTCCTTTACCCCCTCCCTCCAACCTTTCCTAGGCCGACCCCTACCCCGCCTTCCTTCCACTACAGACTGATACACTCTTGAAGTCACTCTGTTTCGCTCCATTCTCTCTACATGTCCAAACCACCTCAACAACCCTTCCTCAGCCCTCTGGACAACAGTTTTTGGTAATCCCGCACCTCCTCCTAACTTCCAAACTACGAATTCTCTGCATTATATTCACACCACACATTGCCCTCAGACATGACATCTCCACTGCCTCCAGCCTTCTCCTTGCTGCAACATTCATCACCCATGCTTCACACCCATATAAGAGCGTTGGTAAAACTATACTCTCATACATTCCCCTCTTTGCCTCCAAGGACAAAGTTCTTTGTCTCCACAGACTCCTAAGTGCACCACTCACCCTTTTCCCCTCATCAATTCTATGATTCACCTCATCTTTCATAGACCCATCCGCTGACACGTCCACTCCCAAATATCTGAATACATTCACCTCCTCCATACTCTCTCCCTCCAATCTGATATCCAATCTTTCACCACCTAATCTTTTTGTTATCCTCATAACCTTACTCTTTCCTGTATTCACTTTTAATTTTCTTCTTTTGCACACCTTACCAAATTCATCCACCAATCTCTGCAACTTCTCTTCAGAATCTCCCAAGAGCACGGTGTCATCAGCAAAGAGCAACTGTGACAACTACCACTTTATGTGTGATTCTTTATCTTTTAACTCCACGCCTCTTGCCAAGACCCTCGCATTTACTTCTCTTACAACCCCATCTATAAATATATTAAACAACCACGGTGACATCACACATCCTTGTCTAAGGCCTACTTTTACTGGGAAATAATTTCCCTCTTTCCTACATACTCTAACTTGAGCCTCACTATCCTCGTAAAAACTCTTCACTGCTTTCAGTAACCTACCTCCTACACCATACACCTGCAACATCTGCCACATTGCCCCCCTATCCACCCTGTCATATGCCTTTTCCAAATCCATAAATGCCATAAAGACCTCTTTAGCCTTATCTAAATACTGTTCACTTATATGTTTCACTGTAAACACCTGGTCCACACACCCCCTACCTTTCCTAAAGCCTCCTTGTTCATCTGCTATCCTATTCTCCGTTTTACTCTTAATTCTTTCAATAATAACTCGACCATACACTTTACCAGGTATACTCAACAGACTTATCCCCCTATAATTTTTGCACTCTCTTTTGTCCCCTTTGCCTTTATACAAAGGAACTATGCATGCTCTCTGCCAATCCCTAGGTACCTTACCCTCTTCCATACATTTATTAAATAATTGCACCAACCATATTAGATAAATTGTGATAGATAAATAAACTGTAGAGTTGATATTAGTGTCATATTGAAGGATTATCTTGTCCTATCTCCAAACAAAGTCTGCTACCGCCACAAATCCTAACATATGTAATGACATACTTTAAATATGATTGGATGGTTGGGCATTCGCGAATGTTCGAAGCCCGTGAAAGTGGAACTCGTGAATGTGGAGGGAGACCTTACTACACTATGTCTAATATCAGTAGGACCCAGAAGGGAATAAGAGGATGGTAATTTATCCCTTATCCTCGAGTTCACAGCAAATGAATGCACGTCTGACCAAGACGTGTACACAAACGTGTACACAAATGACAGGAAGTGGGGAAAATTGGCATGTGCAAAAAAAATGGTGCGGAATGTGGAAATCGGTGCGGCTGTGTTCAGCACCCGATTATGTGTTCTTGACCAGATGCAAAAATTTGGCAAATTTTTTGGTCGCGAACCCATCTGTTCATGTTTGGAAGCGTTTGTGATCAGAGGTTCCACTGCACTTTGTTAGATACAGTACTGTATCTGATTTGTATCTTCTTTTGCATAAGAAATTTGGATTAAGTTCAGTGTAGCTCATTATCTAATTTACCTGTATTTACTTGTTGCATCACCATCTTGGAGGCAACGAGAACATTTTTTCCCTCGTATTACTTCATGTTAGTAAGGTTTTAATTTATTACTTGGAGAGCTTAATATTTTTTTAAGCCCACCATTCTTTCATCTACAACTTTGCTTGCCACTCATTAACAGTTTCTCTCTTTTTCTAGATGGGAATGAGGGACTTGTTTGATGAAGGAAGATGTAATTTGTCTGGAATCACAGGCTCCCAAGATCTGCATGTTTCTAAAGTTATTCACAAGGCTTTCTTGGAGGTCAATGAAAAAGGCAGTGAGGCTGCTGCTGCTACAGGTAAGTTATTTTATCCACTATTTTAATGTTAATTGCATTCCTATCTGCATGTTCTATACTGTATTTTATTAATTTCTTGATGGATTAGACCCAAGTGCAACACTTGGGTATCTTTAATGAGGAAATGTTTTGCCACACAGTGACTTCATCAGTCCATACCAAGGAGAATGGTGAAGAACAGGAGGAGTTTGAGGTAATCAGTCCCTCACCCTTGAGTCGATGTAATCAGTCCATCAATTTTGAAAAGAATACAGCATATGTGCGAGGAAGTGGCTTACATACTGTAGGCAGGAGAGGTGCAGCAGTCGTAGGTGGTGTCACATTTGACAAATGTGGAACTAGGTCATGTTCTTCACCATTCTCCTTTGTATGGACATGAAGCCACTGTGTGGTGAAACGTTTTTTCATTAAAATTACCCAAGTGTTGCACATGTGTCTAATTGATCAACTTGTCAGTTCTCTGAACCATTCATCTATATTATTGATTTATTAGTGAGCTAGTTGTCCATGAGGGATGTGACTAATAATAATATTTATTTTTACAAGTACATGATACAACTTAAACAGACCTAGCTGATATCAGTGACATACTACAGTAGACCATTACATTACATTAATTTATTTGTCACATTTTGGTTATTGCACTATTGAAAAGTTGTGGCACAATTTTATACAACACTTTATAAAATTAATTTTATACAGTTCTGTTTGCGGGCGCAAAAAATTTCCCCAGCTCAAGCTGCCGCCTTGTTGTTGGTCAGCAGGGGAGACCTCCCGCCATGCCCTGCCTTCCCCCCAACACTCCCGCTACCACCATCCCAGCCTTTGTGAATATGTGTTCAGTTCTGTTCTGTCTTGAGAGCTAGCTGTGTTTGTGAATTGCAGTTTGATCTTTTAATTACCATATCTTGTATCTTCCAAGCAATCATGGCACCCAGTAGGCATACCAGTGTTGCTGACAGTGGCAAGAAAAGGTATAAGCATTTAAGTCTTAAAATTAATGAAGAAAATAGAGATATTAAACAAGAGATAGCCTGTGGCTGTAATGATCATCACTTTGTGCAGTTAGAAAGAATGAGGTAAATATGAATTTGTGTGATGAATAACTGACTGACTGACTGATTTGACTGACTTACTGACTTGGCTGGCTGACTGACTTACTTGACTGACTTTCTTCACTGACTGACTTGACTGACCAACTTACTGACTGACCGACTTGACTGATTTACTGACTGACTTGACTGACTGACTTAGACTTTTTCACTGAAGAGGACCCTGCAACAGTGTCTAGAGCAGCTGATGCCTTACCATCAGTTGTATAATGTACTGCGGGGTAAAATAGAACAGAAATCCATTACAGATTTTATGCACACTGTTACAAAAAATGCCATATCTATTAACCCTTAAACTGTCCAAACATAGTTCTACGTTCACGTGCGTAGCGCTCTGACCTTGATTTTCCCCATTTGAAAGCATGTAAAAAAAAACTTAGATCTATGTTCGGAGCCCCCCGCAGACGTAGATCTATGTTTGGACAGTTTAAGGGTTAAGCATAGACATCTCCAGTGAATACTAGAAAGGTCTGCCCCTCTAGCATTCAGCCTGTTGCTGGGTTTTTGTAACAAGTAGTCAGTATCCTGGTCCAGTTATCCGTTAAAATTTATCATAAATTTAATAGTGCTTTAGGATTACAACTGGACGGTTACTAACTAATCGAATTAATATTAAGATCTGTTTATTAACAAAGTTAAAGTTGTCTAGGTGGACAAGTAAATACTTTATATAATATAGGATCTAAGTTCCTACACTTCTCTCATATTGCAAAAGTTATACTGTATAATAATGCTGAAGGCACATTTTATATCTGTAAGGCTCTTAAGTACCGTTTGATACATTGTCAGCAATTATAAACATAATATTAATATAAACAAGTGAGTGTGTGTGAATGTGTGTATGTATGTGCTCCAAGTAGTCCGATGTCTCAAGACTAGACTCGACAACCAGTGACTGACTAAATGTCCTCAAATAATCTATCTTCCTGACCAAACTGGCAATCAGAACAGCTAGCTTTAACAGTATGGCGACCATTCGCCTACAGCAATAAAGTTACAAGCAGCGGCAGCACGGAGTCAGGAACAAGGAGACAAAATAATGACCTTAACTGGGGACCTTCTACAGATCCTCCACAAAAGACATAAAACTCCCTTAATACTGAATCTAGGTTCAGCATAACCAAATCCCCGACTATGACAATGCTCAGATGCCAGAACAAATTAGGTCAGAAACTACAGCTCAGGACCTGGGGTTAACTCAAGAGTGTCAATATGACACACAACCTCGGTAAAACGTCAAAAATCAGCAAGTCTAGGCTAGGCTCTGTGAACAGAGTTACACAGTTACGAGAGGTATGTTTTGTCTCACTACTGGAAACATTACCAAAACAGAGTCTAAACAACGAACACAACCAGAGACGAGGGGGACGTGTTGGTCAGACCAGCACCAGCAGAGAAAGAGAGAGAGAGAGGAAGGCAAGGTGGCCCCCACTCAGGTGCAATCATGCCACTTGTCACGTGACTCGCCTGGCTACTCCAGCAAGGAGCCGGCAATTAAACAAGCGAGGTGGCAATTAGCAAGGTAGTTTGCCAACTCACGGGCAGCTGCTCAACACTCTCAAATAAGGGTGCACAAAATAAAGTGTAAATGTTATATCCTACCTAACAATATAGCTTAGTCAAATAATAATATAAAGCATGATACTTTCAATTTAGCTAATATTGAAAATATCAGCAATATAAAATTATATGAATGGCAGAATACATTATATACATCAAATATACATTGTGCCCCATTCAGGGGTCACAATACCCCCAACACGACAAATGGTCGCACTAGGAGTTACATATTGTCTTTCTCATGTCTAACTTAAATTACATCAACACATTAATTAGGAGTCACTCATATGTGCCATCTACTTAAATTTTTCAGTGTCTTTGTCACTAATTAAACTATGCCCCTCGTACTAAGGCAGTACACAGAGTATCGTATATCTGCAGTCTCATGGTTATGTACATCAGTGTAGAGACAGGATAGCGTAGTAGTGCATGACACGATAAGGGTCGATTGTTGTGGTGGAGATTGCACACTAGAACAGTAGCCGGCCAGCTGGCTGGCCAACTGCTGTAACGAGAAGTAAAGAGAAAATTCTGGAACGTGTAATAAGTGTTCGGCTGGCTGGCTGGCCAGCCGGCCGGCCAGCTGAACACTTATGTTTAAGAGACAGAAAAAAGGACACGAGCAATCCTACCATCATGTAAAACAATTACAGGCTTTCGTTTTACACTCACTTGGCAGGACAGTAGTACCCCCCTGGGCGGTTGCTGTCTACTAACCTACTACCTAGGAAAGATATTATTATTATTATTATTATTATTATTATTATTATACATTGGACCCTCGGGTAACAGCGGCATCGGCTAACACCAAAATCGGATAGCGGCACGATTTTGTCAAATATTGGCTTGGCTAACGCCCAAGAACTCGGTTAAGGGCATTCGTTCCGAATGTGTCTGCGTGGCCTGAGCCCATGTAAAGCCAGTGTGCCATTGTTTACAAGCCAGGAAGGATGATTCCTCGTGTACATGCAATATATTTTGTATTATTCCATTGTTTTTAGTGCTTGTAACTGCTAAATAAGCCACCCTGGGCCCAAAGAAAGCTTCTAGTGCCAGCCCTGTGGTAAAGAAGGAAAGAAGCACAATAGAATTCAAGAAAAAACTTGTAACAAAGTACCAAAGTGGAGGAGGAAGAGAGAGGGGTGAATGTGCCGTCTGCAGTGATTCTACGATATGTACAATACTACAGCAGGTATCGATAAAGGCTATAGTGCCAGCCAGCGATAAAGTGTAGAGTTAACGGTGTAGCAAGTAAGTTAAGCGAGTAAGCGATAGAAAAACGACACGAAAGTAACTCTCCAATGTTGTTGGATGCGTATTGGGCCAATGAGCATATGCTGCCCTGCTACGTATCTTCCACCACCCTAAACCTCTGCCAGCATCTCCTCCATCAAACTAACTAATTAAACTAACATCTCCTCCAAGGTAAGTGTAAATATAAAAGTGTAAGTATAAAAGTAAATGTAAGTGCAAATATAAAAGGACCCCAATGAAAATATGTAAGTCACTCTGACTTTTCTGGCTTATCCTAGGTACTTTACATGTATGCTGCTATGTATGATAATCTATGTACGTAACTGTATTTGTGTATACCTGAATAAACTTATTTATAAATTAAAATGTAAATATTTCTTATTTATAAATTAAAATGTAAATATTTCTTATTTATAAATTACATATATTGTTTAAGTGTGATAGTGTTGGTGGGATCTGCTGGTGCCATCACCACCACCTCCACCACTATGTACGGCTTCTCTCAGTGGCCCTTACAAACCAAACAACAACAACTTCCATCACTTTACTCCTCTCATACATTATGACATATTTTATTCATTCTAGAGTATACACACCTACCATCCGACTTACGACCGAGTTCGGTTCCGAGAAACCGGTCGTAAGTTGAAATGGACGTAAGTCGAACTTTACTACTGAATATCAACATAACGTTTTTGTAATGACTTTATTTTACTGTTTTATTTTGGTATTTCATGTTTTACTTTACTTTTTATGCTGTTAGTACTGTATTTTATACTGTAAGGCTTAGGATAAATACTGTGTACAACACAAACACTTGTTTATTTCCCAGAAATTTGGCATAAAAAACACGGTCGTAAGTCGAGTCGTCGTATGTCGAGCAGGTCGTAAGTCGGATGGTAGGTGTATCATGTTTCTATGTTATTAATATTGTTTACTATGTCATATTAGATGAATTGTGATAGATAAGTAAGCCATTTAGATAGTAGGTTGGTAGACAGTAGTACCGCCTAGGGAGGTACTACTGTCCTGCCAAGTGAGTGTAAAACGAAAGCCTGTAATTGTTTTACATGA